TGTAACGTCAAAGAAGCGCCCACACCTGCGCACGCGAATATGCGACAAGTAAACCTGACCCGGTTTCAGATGTCAGTGCAAAATCTTCGCTACGACCAACACCGTTGTAAATGAGTGTTATATCCTCTAGTTGTTGCGTGGAACCGAAGACAGAGAGCACGTCAGAGAGCAACTTCACTGTGTCGATCATCACACCCGCTCTCAAGCCTTCTGTCCATGACGTCGTATCTACGGTTTGTGTCCATGAGCGATTCTCAAATTCTCATTAGCTGAGGCCGTGGCGCCCGCTTGGGCAGACTCTGGCGCCCCCTGAGGTCGCGCATAATGCATCGATGTGCTGAATCATGCGGGGGGGGGGCTTGGTTGGTGGAGCTGACCTGCGGTTTGGCGGTTCCCTATCGGGAATGACAGCCTAACGACAAGAATGACGCGTCTCGTCCCGGGCTGCCCTAACAACTGGTCCCACCAACAGCCTTTTTATAGTGAAACGCAGAGGGCCAGCACTTTCTGTTCAGAGCAATTTAACTTGTGGATGGAAGCTTTCAGTGTGAAGTGGGCATAATTGTCGGGAGATCCGAGTGAGTCGCTCTACAGGTTCACGGCAACAGTAGGTTGAAAAACCCTAATTAACGACTTAAAGACTGTAGATCGTGTGCTGATGAATGTGCGTGCGAAATATAGTTAAGTAATGACGACTAGCAATTGTTCCCAAGAGCGGAGAAACAAAAGCGGAGCTCAACTGATCATGAACTGAAGGATAACAGAAATGTTTGGCAGAGGATAGACGCAGTTGTTTGGTGGTTAGGCATTCTTTCAAGAAGGGCCGCCATGGAATATCCAACGGGATACAGTATCTGCATAAATTCATCATTTTACTCGAAAACACGTTTTCGCCATCGATCGTATGCTGTGTTTTCCCGAATTCAAAATACAAAGGCCATCCAAGGTTTATGCAGCTTATATAGGATGTTCGTGATGTATTCTGATAGAGCCATTCTGAAAGATGCGCTCGGCATAAATGTGGCATTTAGAATATGCACAAACGACAGATAACTATTCAGTATAAGAGACGGAACGATTGGTCCAACAGAATGAATGACTTTGATATTTTTCAGGTTGGGATAGAAATATGTAGTAGAGTCGTTCGCCATCGGAGCTCTTATAATTACTGGCATGGTTATCAAATGTGAGCTAGAATGGCAAAGTGTACAAAGACACTCGGGAGCATGTAGTACGATTGCCAAAACTACCAATTAATTCACATTATATTGTCAAGACAAAACCACACGTGCAACTGAGGAGCCCTTGAAAAGGGAAAACTATTCATAGAATCTGCATTGTCTCATACGTTACTGTGATTAGTTTATGGTTATGCGTCCTTTCATTAATGTGACAATGTTGCGAACACTGACCAAGACTTACTGACAAAGCAACTAACATGACCTTTCCTAGTAGGTTCTGAGGTAGAAAAAGGTTTTTTTGGCTTTTGTCTGTTTTCTGATTACCGTCGAGATTTAATACACTTTGCCACTTCTTACGGTTGCTGACAATTACTAGAATGATGAATTATCTCGACCGTTTGGCGAGCGTAATCTGCAATGGAAGTGATCGTGCCTTCGTCTTCTTCTAAGTAATCTGTAATCATTCATATAAGCTATCCTAACCGACAGAACAACGAGGCTGTGGCTCAATGATTAAACAGTCGGCCTGATGGCCACAAGAGTATGGAATCAAGTCTCAGGTGCTCCAGGTCTGGGGTTGGCTATTGCTTATTGGTTAAGGCAAATGAGTCAGAAATGGCCACTTTAGTCGGCCTTGTCCTTGGTAGAAAATCTCGACAATGGTAGAGAAAAGGACCCCAATTAGCCACGGGTAGACTGCAGATTGTGTGCTGATGTAGGTACTTGCGAACTCTAGTGAAGTACTGATGACTAGTTGTTGTTGTTGTTGTCTACATAAGTATCCTTAAATAAAAGTAGATGCTTTGATATCAAAGCGGTAAAAGAACTAATATTCACTATTACAAATGTGTAAAGACAGTTAAACCAAGAGTTAAGTAGATCAAATATTTATCGTGATATTTCGTCCGACGCAATAGGATGCATTTAACCCTTTCCTCCTCGTAAAATAATTATGAAAGATACCTCGCAAATTCTATATGGTGGATAATTCCAAGTTGTACAATTGCCTATGATTCAATTCAAAGGAATATAAAATATTCGGAAAGAGAATGAAGGTGCGTTTACAACAAGGCAATAAACAATCTAAAACGCATAGCAAGACAAATGCAAGGCCGCCCTTTCCTGCATTCGTCCATTCGAGTCAAAAAGCGATTCCACTCCCAAAATCTGCAACAGTACTGCAACAAGCATTAAAACTATTTGACCACAAACCGCGGTTTTATCAGGGAAGCAAATTCCACACATTTAATTTCTGAACGAATGGCGTGACGATGTCAAACATTTGCAAAAGTGGCAAGTAGTTAGAAGTTGTAGGTGTGAGATGTCCCTATCTGCATAATCGAAGTGTTTCTCTTCACTTTTCCAAATCTGGTTCTGTAGGCTTTTAGAAAATAAAGTGTCTTCGAATGTTTGTGTTTTACATGAATATATGGGTAACTTATAACGTTTCCAAGAACTTAACTCCCGTAAACGTCTGTCATAATATCTGCCGAACACACGCTTATGAATCAAAGATACAGCGGTCGCTGAAGTTTTATGCAGCTTATACGGAACTTTCGTGATGCATTCTGATAGAGCCATTCTTAAAGATGCGCTCGACCTAAATGTGTCATTTAGAATATTCACAAAAGATGGATAGCTATTCAGTATTAGAGACGAAACGATAAGTATAACGGAAAGAATATCTTTGATATTTTTCAAGTTGGGGATCGAAATATGGCGTAGCGGTATTCGCTACCGAAGCTCTAATAATGACTGGCATGGTTATCAAATGTGAGCTAGAATGGCAAAGTTTACAAAGGCACTCGGGAGCATGTAGTACGATTGCCAAAACTACCAATTAATTCACGCTATATTGTCAAGGCAAAACTACACTTGCAGCTGGGGAGCCCTTAAAAAGTGAAAACTATTAATAGTATCTGCATTGTCTCATACGTTGGTGTAACCAGTTTATGGTTGTCAGATAGGCGCTCAGCAGATTTATGCGTCCTTTCATCAATGTGACGGTGTTACAAACACTGAAAAAGTAATTAACGCAAACTTTCCTAATAGGTTCTGAGGTAGAAAAAGGTTTTTTTGCTTTCTTTCTGTTTTCTGATTGCTGTCGGGATTTAATACTTTTTGTCGCTTCTTATGCTTGCTAGCAATTAGTAAACGGATCAATTATCTCGACCGTTTGGCGAACGTATTCTACAATAGTTAATATAAGCTATCCTAACCGACAGAACAGCGAGGCTGTGGCTCAATGATTAAACAGTCGGACTGATAGCCACAAGCGCGTGGAATCAAGTTTCCGGTGCTTGAGGGCTGGGGTTGGCTATGGCTGACTGGTGATGGCTAAGGAGTCAGAACTGGCTACTCCAGTCGCCTTTGTCCTTGGCGGTAAAGAAGGAGACCCCAATTAGCTGTCGGTAGGCTGTAGATTGTGTGCTGATGTAGGTACTTGCGAAATCTAGTGAAGTACTGATGACTAGTAATTGTACCCCATATCGGCAGCGGTAGGGTAAAAAAACCCCAATTAGCTGCCCCTAGGCTGCAGATCGTGTGCTGATGTACGGTAAATGGGCTGACTCATGAAGTTTCGACAGAACTTCCGAAATGCCTTTTCGTTTCGACATGACTTATTCAATAGAGTTGTAAAACCAATCATCGTGCAGTATAATTCTATAATAATTCAGTTAACACAGGACGTCGGCTTTCGAACAAACTCCTTTTTAGCTGTATGCAACAACCATACTCCGTAAAAAATGACTACTTAAGTAGCATGCATTTTTCATTGATTTTCGATGCCATTAAAGACTCAATTATATTTCATGGGAAAAATGCACAAAAATCTTCATGCTCTTACTCATTCAGTAGAAAATTACGTCTTCTTTTAATCTTACACTCGTGGGAAGGGTATAATTTGGTTTTATAAAACTTTTCTGATTTCCAAATAATTTTGAACCCAACTTCCCGTTACACTTGCATTCAGAGTTCCCAAATAACAAGCCGTATAATTTCCGCGTACGGAAAACCATACATTTTTCTACGGACATAAAGGGGACCATATGGGGTTCATAAAATTAAGCAATGGATTTAAGCCACATTGGTAACTTTACAAGTCACACTAGTAACTGCAGAGACATGACGTTTTATGAAGGACCAATTCATAGTAATAAAAAATCTTAAAATTTGAAACTTTTTTGAAACCGAATTATACCCTTCCTTCGAGAGAAAAATTAATAGAGGACGTAATTTTCTACTGAATGAGTAAAGAAATGGATATTTTGTTTATGTTTTCCATAAAGTATAATTAAATCTTTAAGGGAATCGAAAATCAATGAAAAAATGCATGCTACTTAAGTAGCCATTTTTTGCGGAGTATGGTTTGTGGATGCAGCAAGAAGGAAGTTTTTTCGAAAGCCGGCCTCCTAGGGAAACGGCATTATTATATAATTATGCTGCATGATGATTAGTTTTACCACCCTACTTAATTAATCATTTCGAAACAGAAACGCATTTCAGAATTTGTGTTGAGATTTCATGAGTTAGCCCACCTACTGTGGGTACTTGCGAAATCTAGTGAAGTACTGATGACTAGTTGTTGTACTTCATATCGGCAACAGTAGGGTAAAGGATCCCAAATTGTTTGGGTGCAACGCACTCCGATCGGCCCGACGGTAGGAAACGTTTGCCCTTCGAGAGGCCTCTACTTATGCGCAGATCCGGTTTCTGCACAGGTGTCTCGATAACAACGTGTTGCCGAAGTGCGTTTCATACAAACCCCCGGTAAACACGGCGCTAGCGAGACGCGTAGTATTTCAGCACGGAGGACGTATGATCCGCGTGCTCCTTCAAGATTACCATGCGAGGCTTCGCAAATACCGTCAGAGAATTGACCAAAAGAAGGCCAGATGCTGTGAGTTCATGGGCGAGAAGGACACAAATCTGCTTCAGCAGAAGGTGACTGAACGAGCCCGTGAGCAGAGAGCGACACGCGATGCAGCGCTGGGAAACAAATTCCACAGACCGCCTGATCCAATGTCAATCAGAGGCGGCACACTGATACGCAACCTATCGTCAAAGGAACTGACGAAGGAGCAAGTACAGGTTTTAGAGCACGAAGCCTCATTCAACACAGCTGACGCCAAACCTGTCAACATGATTGCAGCAGTGGAATCGGTCGTTAATCAGATGGAAGCGGCGGAGGAGACGAAGAACTTTATCCGACACCAAGTGTCGTCCCTCCTTATGACTCACAAGCCGAGCGAAATACTCCCAGAGGTCGAACGCGATGCACTAAGAGAACTCAAGGCCGACAGGGACATCGTCATCATGCCCGCGGACAAGGAACATTCCACCGTTGCATTGGACAGAACAGACTACCTTCAGAAGGCCAAAAACCTACTGGAGGATCGCCAGTTTTATGTCCCATGTGAAACCAACCCCGTAAAGACACTGACACGCGAAATTAATGCGACACTGTTGGCACTGGAGAACTCGGGTGCAATAACACCGACCGACCGACGCATGGCGAGAGCCCAAGAAACGGCCTTGGCCCGATTTTATGGTCTCCTCAAGGTGCGCACGGAGGGCTCTCCTCCCCGGCCCATTGTATCGCTTAAAGCCACTCAAACGTACGGACTGGCAAAATAGTTGTTTCGGCGTCTCAAATTTCTGACCGCTGATTCGGACACCACGGTCTGTTCGTCAACGCAATTCCTGAAGAAGATTAAAGGATTAAGTCTCATGCCAAATGAGGTCATGGTGTCTTTTGATGTCACGTCCCTCTTTAGTTCTATCCTCTATGATCTGGCAGTCGAGACCGACCAGCTACTCCTACGGAGCAAATACACTGAAAAGAAGAATCGTTTCGGGCATGCTCAAGTCCTTCAGCTCCTAAAGTTCTGTCTCAGGACGTACTTCACGTTTGACGGAACAACTTACGAGCAAGTGACGGGAACACCAATGGGCTCGCCGATTTCGGGATTCATCGCCGAAGCGCTCCTACAGCGGTTAAAGTCGCTGGTCTTCCAACACCACAGACCGAAATTCTGGGCTCGGTATGTGGACGATGCCATCGTCGTCATCGAACGGGATCAAGTGGTAAGGTTCAAAGAACGTCTCAACAGCGTCTTCCCGGACATAAAATTTACGATGGAGGAGAAAGAAAATAGCCAGCTGGCATTCCTTGATGTCCTCGTCTGTCGCAAAGATTGTGGTGGCCTAAAGACCAAAGTGCTCAGAAAAGCGACAAACACGACGCAAATACTGAACTTCAACAGTAACCACCCAATCAGCCACAAACGCAGTTGCGTAAGAACGCTATATCGGCGTGTTGAGACGCACTGCCGAATCCCAGTAACTTCAACGGGTTTTCAGAGAAAATGGTTACCCGCGCAACTTCGTCAACCGGTGCATGCGCAAACGAGATCAGCGACAAAATCGCGCCGACCCCAAATTCTGGCGAGCGATCCCGCACATCAAGAACGTCTCCGAGGCCGTTAGTCGCCTTCTTGCATCACTTGGGGTTGGAGTTGCACACAAACCGTAGGCCGCCATGAAGCGACAGGTGATGAGACCAAAAGACCCACTGCCACGGCAAGAAACATCTGAGTCGTTTACCGGATCTGGTGCGGTTGCGGACAAAGCAACTACGTCGGAGAAACTGGGAAACTGCTCCGAACGCGAATTGCCGAACACGTGGTAGCGGTACGGAAAAATGACGCCAACTCTCAGGTCGCGGCCCATTCGACGAGACTCGGCCACACATTCAAGTTCGATGAGGCCTAAATTCTCGCGAGAGGCGACAATTGCGTGAGTTGCGAGTTGCTTGAGTCATGGTTCACTGGACTTCGGTCTATCGACAAGTGCAACGACATCCCCACTCCATATTCTGCCCTGAGGCATAGGCTGGCCAAGGCAGTTGACCACTCCGGGAGCGCGCAAGCCGGTGAGCCAGATGGTCGAGCAATCATTACGCCAGCATCCAACACGGATGATGACATTTCGGCAATTAACAACTTGCATGCCGGCCATTAAGCAATTAGCGCAGCAACGGGCAACAATCCTTAATGTAGGGGAGCGCGGTTAATTGCTATAGGTATGCGGTAGCATAACGACTGCATCCTATAAATACTGCAACTTCCTGTGCACAAGTCACCCTTATCTACCTCTGTCTCTGATGATGGTTTTAAGTGAGAGTCCGAAACGCCAGGCGAATAAAACCCTTGTTTCAGCGACCGCTTCTTCTTGTGATCAGTAATGACATTTTTATGGTAGAGAGCGCCCACCGACCACCTTGTGGGACTTTCTCATCCCGTTGTGCTGCAGGGCTCGTTCTATCGCCTGGTAGGCTGTCTTACAGCGACTAGTGATCTACATGGAGAAGAACTACCGAAAAAACAAGAGAGATGGAATAGACATCTAGGGCTTATTAGCTGTTTTCAGCCAGCCATACACAACCCTTGGTTTGGAACTCCTCTGACTTGAGCCCGTGTTCTGTTGGTCAGAAGTCCAATGGACATGGCTCAGTTACCAGAGCATGGGACTTCTAGTCGTGCATGGCTGGCTGATGAGCCATAAACGTTCATTTCATGCTAATTTGTCTTTGTTATTAGTCCTTCTTTGAAGGGTACTCTGAAAAGTCAGCGATGCGCAACAGAAATGAAAGTAAAGCCTGTAACTGCAAGTGTCGAAATCGTCATATGAAGGTGGGAGACTCCTTAAATTCTAATGCAGTGGCGAAAGTAACCTAAACAGGCCATTCTATCCATAAATATTTAAATTGGGTTGCAACTCAAACTGACAGTATGTTCAAAAATTTCATCTAAAATTATCTCAGTGTGTTTTTCAGGTAAGCCGAATGTAGAAATGTTTCTAACCCATGACTGAGGCCCCGTAGTGCATCTAGTCTTAAGAGAAGCAGTGGGCTATGAAGGTGCCCAGTTATGGGCGACCCGTACATATATGGTAAGTCGCATCATGCAAACGATGACTGCTTCTCACGGTCCTTGACTGCCATGGAATATCCAATTGGATACCATATCTGCATACATTTATCATTTTACTGGCAAGTATCGTTTTCGCCAGCGGCCGTCTTCTGTGTTTTCCTGTTTAACATGATCCGCAGTATACCGAGGGCTAGTAATGGTTCTTCACCCTACCGTTGCCCAGTTCACTTATAAATCCGGTGATAGACGTAAAAAATAAATGGAATCTTCCGTGGGTTTTCGTTTTTCTGGCTTTGCCATAAATTTATGCTTTCATTCCCTTGATTTTTGGCCGCCACCAATCAAGCCAGTTAAATAGAAGAGGAGAAGAGAGGTGTTTATACTTTATCTTTCGCTTCAGCGAGCGACATAACGTGGGGTTTCCTCAACACAGTGGGTCCTCTGGGATGCGTTCTATCCTGCCTGACGGCTAGTTCGTCTATTCAGGTCTCGAGGTAGTCCTGCGTGTCCATTGCTGTCAGGTTGTGAGTTTGGCCCAAGCAAGGCGCGAGATGGCAAATCAGGGTTTGTTTTTTTTAGTTTATTTGATAAGGATGAGAGGCAAAGCCTTTGAAAACCCTATTGATTACATGTCAGCTCGTTAGAAATAACTGTACTAATGAAAATATTCGCTGTATAAATAGTACTTGATTCATTTGAGTAGCATTGCCAAAACCCTCTTCTAGGGCCCTGGTCCAGATCTCCAGACAAGCTAGCATTCAGAAGCATTCAGAAGCTCACACACTGTCCAGCTCGAAAGCAGCTTGAGATTGGATTTTATACCAATCAGCTTTGCGTCGTTAACCATATAATTTTTTTTTATTTGAACACACATAGGAAGGGTTAGGTCAAAGCTCCACGAGTTTCGGTCTCAGTACCACTATAATGAATATTCGCAATCGGAACCGACACAATGACGGGGTTGTAGACCACTGGTAGAGGGCTGGAATTAATAACGCCCAATAGCGAAAAATTCGTAAAAGTGGACTGGATGAGGCTGGATGCCGGCGGCTAACAAGCCAGAAATGGCCATTCCCGTCTCCCTTGTCTTTGTCTGTACTCCATACTCTGTATATGCCACCAGTGGGTATGCTTGTCATATTGCCTGATTGATGAACGCCCTTTCAAAGGCTAGTTGTTTTTTTTCAGAGCGCAGCCGGATAAAATATTGGGCTCATAACTCAGTGGTAGAACGCTGGACTCGAACGTTCAGTATCCAGAGAATCTGAGTTTGAATAACAAATTACATGCTGAAGTTAAGTACGGCCGGCTGAGGACAGCAAATAAGACAGAAATGGACATCCTGTCTCCCTTGTCCCTGTTGGTCATCCGTCGTGTGTATAACCACGACACCTCCGTAGACCTAATACGGACGCTATGACTACTGCAGGATGTAACATGCGAGCAGCATCGATTTTATTAATATCATTAATTTTCATTGTCCGCGAACATTCTCCCGAAACGTTCATTTTGGCTTCTTTGACCCCATAAGTCCTTCAAAAGCCAGCATAAACCCTAAATCACCTCTTTTACATGGGATCGTTTGTTCTGTGGTTCACCCAAGCATTCGGGCATAGAGATCATCGGTACTTCTAGATGAATCTGCATGCCCCCAAGCCCCCAAGTATCATGTGCACTCCACTCAGTGATTCAGTAGTGAATGTTATACCCAATGGTGCGCTACCTACCTCAAGGGCTTTATAATCTTGAGTATAATGGGCGCTAGGTGTCGCAACTAAAGAGACATTAACTTAAGTTGTAAAAAGTTATTTCGATTAGATGCGATTTCTGAGGCGGAATTACGGATATTAATTTTCATGCAGCACTTCCTGAAATATGTCTGAGCAGGGCCGGAATATCGACGTTTGTATTTGAATTTTCATGGGACGATGCTTAATTAGGTAGCCCGTTTTTTTTGCAGATTTTTAATCTCCTCATAAGTCCCAGAAATATTTTATTGGATACGCGCACATTATATTCCTTCCCGTACATGTTTCATGGGAAATTGCATCTTTAGGTTTTTCAATCAAGGAGAAAATCTTTTGGTCTAGCGAGAGTTTACAATTATAAGGTTTGTTAGGGCTGTAGAATTTCGATTTACATAGCATTATCTCTATCAGTCTATTAGTTGTAATTCAAAATTACTTAACGGTGGTATACTTACTGCATAGTTTTCTGAGTACCGTATGACGTGATTTTCATAATATTGAGAAATATTTGTCTTTTAGATGCAGAATGTATGGCTGATTGACTAGAAACAGCGTCTAAATGAAACTACAGGTCAAGTTTAAAATTATTCCAGAAATGAAAAAAATTGGTTGGTTCAGGTGTGGTTGTGTAGTCCCAACTAAAGTAAATAAACTCCAGTCACCTGTAATACGGGACCGGTGGTAGTAGGAGTTTTTACAGGTGGGGCAGGAGAACGCACAAGTTACGAGGTCAAGTGGTTGTATGTAAAAAGAAAAGCTATTGGGAATGCGTGATTTTACTTTGAGTGGTTAAAAAATTATTTCTCTAACCCCAACAGTGTTGTGCTCATCAGGTGGGGCAACATAAACATATATTATCAAAATATTTGAAGCTAAAAGATAATGTTCCTTCGAGCGAAAAATTGGAAACCGTGATTTTTTTACCAAAAATAGCAGAAACAATTTTATTGTGCATGTCTTCTATGCAATAAAGTTGGATTTGTAGGTAGATCAACAACTAAAAAGATAAGCAGTAGTTTTTTACTGAGTGGGATTTTTGCATGCGACCACAAAGTTGCATAAGTAATAACTAGCATCCTTGTGCGACTGAAATATCCTGCTCTGTGATATTCAGCATTACAACCGCAAGCAAATCGCGTTTCATAACTTTAGTTAACGTTTTATGGTTGAATCAAAAAATCATTCATTCACGTACCTCTTGTAATTCTTGGTCAGCGCTTTTGTGTTAATGCGAAGTGGGCAAACGAGCTACTGATTGTAGATAGATACAAGCGGATGGCGTCTATATTTTAACCATCAGCATACCTCCTTTTCTGCAGCAGGACACAATCAGGCTCTGCCTCGGTTCTGAGTTAACCGCAATGCACTCGAGACAGCATTCCTTTATATGCACTTTTAACTTTCCCGTCGAATAAAGTAAAAGCAACTGGTATTTATTCAGGCATCAGTTTCTCGCGCATGATCTGGTGACGTCACTCTGTCGAGCTACCTCCCACCCGAACTTGACTTAATTTAGTCCGTGCTCTGAAAATTGGGACCTTACTGGGAAGGGGACGGCTACAACCTATCTCTCATCCATGAGGACTGAATTATACCTCATCCCCGTCAAACTGACGGCCATCTGGATCACGATTTATAGTTAGCTGTGATGGCGTACGAGTGATTATGATTCATTAGGGTGAGAAAAGATCACTTAGAATGGGCCTCGCCCTCTCCACATGCCTAATGGTGGCATGATTTACTCAAAACAGTTAGAATTGGAAGTCGCATGTTTTCCGGCTATACAAGCTGGCTCCGCTATATCTTT